GGGGCTGGCTGGCATGTGGTGCTGGGGGATTGAACCGCGGTCCCTGTGCTTTGTTTACCTTAGCTTGTCCCTGTGCTTTGTTTAGCTTAGCTTGTTCTTTTTTTTTGGCGGAACCAGGGATTGAACTCAGGCTCTTGCGCTTGCCAGGCAAGCGCTTATTCCACTGAGCCATCTTCCCAGCCCCTTAGCTTGTTCTAAGTAGGTGCTTCAGACCACTGAGCCATCTCACCAGCCCCTCCTTTTCTGTTGTTACTCTGTGTGACAAGTGACCACAATCTTGGCAGTTTGAAAAAACAGAAATAGCCAGGCAGGGCGGCACATGCCTATAATCCTAGCACTCAGAGGAGGCTGAGGCAGGAGGATTGCTGAGTGTTCAAGGCCAGCCTGGGCTACATAATGAGTTCAAGGCCAGCGTGGACTGCATAGTGAGACCCTGTCTCAAAAGTCAAACAAAAATGAAACAGAAACTAAGTAGAAAACTGAAAAGTAGGAATACTCGGTCTTACAGTTCTGGAGGTCAGAAGTCTGGCCTGGGTGTCCTTTGGCAAGAACAGGCGTCCTGACAGGGCCAGGAGAGAGTATATTCCCTTGCTTTTCCAGCTCCTAGAGGTGGTCACCTTCTGTCTCCAAAGCGAGCCACACAGTGTCTCTCTGACTCTGCTTCCACAACCATATTGCTTTTATCTTGACCTCGTCTTCCCTCTTCCAGATTTATCCCCTAGTTCCTTAGTACTGGGGATGGGACCCAAGGGCCTCAAACCACTGACCTATACCCCCAGCTTCCTCTTCCAGTTTTAAAGCCACGGGATTATGCTTGGCCTCTGAGATAATCTAGGATAATCTCTGTCTTAAGGTCATCTGATCAGCAACCTTAATTCCCCTTTGCCATGTTGCCAAGCTCACCACAGGTTCTGGAGATCAATTAGGACAATGTCATGTTTCTTCTACCTACTCGTGCTGATCCCTGCAGGTGGCCTGCAGTGGTGACTGTGTGCTCAAGCAGTCACTTGTTCGCAGCAGCACGGGGACCTGTCTTCCCTCTTTCACTTCAGACACCCTCTCCCGTCTATGATGTCTTCAGTCCTCAGTGTGTACAGATTTTTTTCTTGCCATTTCCCCCTAAATAATGCAATATGTGTTTACATGACAGCACCTCCCACTCACTCCGTGCACTACTGTTTCACCAAAACAGCTCTCAGGAAACATCACTGAGTGTTCTGTCCTCCCTAGCCTCTGCCTCCAGCACCTTGGCCCCCGCAAATCTCATGTCCCTGGGCTGCTCTGAGGTCACCATGTGGCTCTTTTCTCCTGCCACTGACTGCTGCTCCTTTGTTGAATTCATTTCCCAGACTCTGGAAAGGATCCTGGCTCTGTCACTTAACTGCTCTGTGACTTTGAGAAATGTCTCTAGGTGCTCAGTGCCTTACTTTTCTCATCTGTAAAATGGAAAGAATGGTGGCCTTAACCTCACAGAGGGATTAATGAGCATTTAATGGGTTCTTTGCATGATCAGTGCTTGGAAGATAAAACATCTTTGTGTTTTTTTTTTTTTTTTTTTTTTAAGCGGAACCAGGGATTAAATTCAGGCCCTTGAGCTTGCCAGGCAAGTACTTATTCTACTGAGCTATCTCTCCAGCCCCTGTGGTTGTTTTATTGCTATTATCTGTGTTGCTAAGGATGGAATCCAGGGCCTTGTGCTGCTAGGCAAGTGATCTACTGCTGAACTATATCACCAGCCCTAATTGTTTATTATTACGCTTTCTGCATGAAGACCTTCTGTCCCCCCCATCCCCTTTAAAAGAAAAAAAGTTTTTGAGAAGGGTCTTGCTATGTAGTTTGGGCTGACTTTATTTTATTTTTTTGTGGAACTGGGGATTGAACTCAGGCCCTTGCACTAGCCAGGCAAGCACTTATTCTACTGAGCTATCTCCCCAGCCCCCAGGTTGACTTTAAATTCACTATATAGCCCAGTCTGGCCTTGAACTCATGGTCATCCTCCTGTCTCAGCCTCCTGAGTGCTGGGACTATGGTTGTGTGCCTCGCATGCATGAGACCCTGGGTTTGATCCCACTAGAAAGGAAGAAGGCAGGGCACTGGCCTTGGGGGCTAGACTTCCTATGATCCTGAGCATGTGGAAGAAATGAGTGACTGAAGGCTGCGTGTGTCTGCATGTGATTGGGTCCATTTTGGTTCTCCATTCCCTACATGTTACACCAATGGACAACCAACCACAGATATTCAGAGAAATCCACAAAAATATTAGAGAAAAAGTACATCAGTACTCAATGTGTACAGATTTTTTTCTTTCCATTTTCCCCTGTGGATCGAACTCTGGTCCCTATGCTTGCCTCAGCAGGCACTTAGTCTGCTGAGCTATCTCACCAGCCCTAATACTATATATATATTTTTTTTTCTTTTTTTTCTTTTTTTTTTGGAACCGGGGATTGAACTCAGGCTCTTGCACTTGCCAGGGAAGCGCTTATTCCACTGAGCCATCTCCCTGGCCCCTAATACAATATTTACTTACATAACATTTGCCTATTGTTAAGTAATATGTATATGGGAGGATTTGGATAGGTTGTATGCAAATACTATACATTTTTATAAAGGGTTTGAACATTTGAAGATTTGGTAACCTGGGTCTTAGAACCACGCTCCCAAGGATACGAGAGGGCAGAGTGTGTATATGCATGTTTTTATACTCTTAAAGGAATGTAGGCTTTGCTACAGTCCTGCTGTTTGTGCACACCTGTAATACAGCACTTGGGTTTTTTTTTTGTTGTTGGTTTTTTTTTTTTTTTTTTTTTTTTTTTTTTTAATGTGTGTGGGTACCAGGAATCAAAGTCCTCACACTTGCTAGGCAGGTGCTCTACTACTGAGCTATATTTCTGGCCCTAATCCAGCTCTGAGGAAGTTAAAGCAGGAGGATAACAAGTTGGAGCCCAGCCTGGGTAACTTGGTGACTTAGTGAGACCCTATATCAAATTAAAAAATAATTTAGAGTTGGGAATTGCAGCTTAGTGCAAAGGCCCTGGGTTTTTTTCCTAAAAAAAAAAAAAAAAAAAAAAAAAATCAGAGAAGGCGAATCTTTGGGATGTCAGAATGAGTGTGCATGTGTGTAAGGGGGTGTGCAACTGGGGCTCACACACGACTCCCCCCAGCAGCAGGCAAATGGGAGCCGTGTCAATGTGCTCTACTCCACCCCTGCCTGTTACCTGTGGGAACTGAACAAAGCCAACCTCACCTGGTATTTGGGGAGCCTGGGGGTAGGGGAGAGGGCTAGCTTGCCCAGGCCTGCTCTGCTGTCCTTACACTTCCCCCTCAGGTCTGTGAAGAAGGATGACTTCTTTCCCTATGCCGACGGCCCCCACATGTTTTGGACTGGCTACTTTTCCAGCAGGCCAGCCCTCAAACGCTATGAACGCCTCAGCTACAACTTTCTGCAGGTGGGTGGGTGCTACCAGAGGACAACCCAGGGATAGCCCAGGGGACAATCCACGTGGCCCAGGCCCAGTGCACCTCCTTGGTGTCCCGCAGGTGTGCAATCAGCTGGAGGCGTTGGTGGGCTCGGCGGCCAATGTGGGACCCTATGGCTACGGAGACAGCGCGCCCCTCAGTAGGTGTTGGGCCTGGGGGCCCTAGGTGGGGCTGAAGCCAAAAAGCATCCCTCCTGGGGGCCCCTCTTGGAGCTTCTGAGTCAAGCATTTGTGCGTGGCGCTTTTCTTGCCTTCTTGGGGTTGAGCCAGAGAGTTCTGTGCAGAGCCCACTGACCTCAGCCCCTCTGTCCGCAGATGAGGCGATGGCGGTGTTACAGCATCATGACGCTGTCAGTGGCACCTCGCGGCAGCACGTGGCCAATGATTATGCAAGCCAGCTGGCAGCCGGCTGGGGTCCTTGCGAGGTGGGCGGGGCCGAGGAGAAAGGGCGTGGTCTAGGGTGGTGGGTGGAGCCTAGGAGTCATCTAGAGGCGGGGCTTTCAGGATGCGGGGCAGAGGTAACTTGGGGTTAAGGAAAGAGGGGGGTCGGGCGAGGGGTGGAGATTGGGAGCTGAAAGGTCCATTCCCGGGAGACAAGTACAATGTAAGGCGTGGTCTGGCCGTGGGGTGGATCCTAGGCAGGTTTGCGGGGCAGGATTGCAGGAGGCTGGGGACAGGGAGGAGAGGGGCGGGGCAGCAGTGCACCTGCTGCTGTACTGGGAGACCACCCAGATGTGGACCTGGTCAGCAGCGCACCTGCTGCTTGCGCTCTTCTCCAGGTTCTTCTGAGCAACGCGCTAGCCAAGCTCAGCGGCTCCAAGGAGTCCTTTTCTATCTGCCGCGACCTCAACATCAGCTTCTGCCCGGTCAGCCAGACATCCGCGCACGTGAGCCTGGAGTGGAGCAGAGGAGCAGGGCCGAGAAGGGCCGTGGGCAGGGCGAGGAGGCAGCGGTGCAACGGGGCAGTGGTTGGGTGGTGCCGTCTGGAAACCGTGGTTGCAGTTTTCTTTCGAGGGTCGTCCAGGAGCTGCAGGACACAGGGCAGCGTGGAGCTTGGGCAGATACTCCTGAGGTCGCTGTGGGATATTGCTGTGTCCGTGGGTAGGCTGGAGAAGGCCTGCTGTGACCCGTCCCCTCCCTGCTTCCCACACAGTTCCAGGTCATCGTTTATAACCCCCTGGGGAGGAAGGTGGATCAGATGGTGCGGCTGCCTGTCAGCGAAGGCCTTTTCCTCGTAAAGGACCCCAGAGACAAGACTGTGCCGAGCAAGGTGAGCCCACTCAGTGAGTACCACCCGCCTGAGGCAGTTTCCTTCTGTTCTTTGAGCCCAGGGCACTTTCACTGAGGTACATCTTCAGCTCTTCTTACTTTTTGTTTTTTGAGACAGGGTCACTCACTCCGTGTGGTTCAGGCTGATCTTGAGCTCTCTTGAATTTTGATCCTCCTGCCTCAGCCTCCCAGAGTTCTGAGATTATAGCAGTGTGTCTCCAGATTTGGTTTCTCCCCGCTCTAATGGACACTTCCCACAAGTGTCTTCCTGCTCTATATATCTGATGCTTCTGCCTCTGAATATCTGCTCCCCTTGGAAACGTCCACCTCCCATGATTGGTCTGATTTTTTAATATCCTGTCTTGAAAGTTTCTTCCTGTTCTGGACAGCCCTGTCATCCCAGAAGCCTTCCCTTGAGGCTCTTTCTCCCCCAAGAATCTTTCCTTCGTTCTTGTGCCTGAAAGATTTCTTTTAGGGATGGCATGTGTTTGTCCTCTCAGCAGAGAGGGAGGCTGAGGTAGGAGGATTGAAAGTTCCAGTCCTAACTGGACAACTTAGTGAGACTTGATCTCAAAATATGCACACATAAATTAATTAATAAGTAGATAGATAGATAGATAGATAAGGCTGGAGATGTAGCTCCGTGGTTGAGCATCTCTGGATTTGATTAACAGATCTACAAAGAAAAAAATAAAACTCTTCCATTTCCTCTCTCATTTTTCCCTGACTCCCAGTCTCCTTCCCACTCATGAATTTTTTTCCTACCTTGAGAAACCTTCTCTGCCACTATTATCATCATCATCAACATCATTATCATTATTATTATTTTATGTATTTGTTATAGGGTTCCACTACACAGCTTGGATTCCTTACACAGTAGTAATCCTCCTGTTTTCAGCCTCCCCGGCGCTGCAATTATAGGTGTGCATCACCAGACTGGGTCTCAGTGACTGGCTCTGTGCGCCCTGGAGTGAGGCCAGTGCGGCATGTGGTGCCAGGTCCCTGTGCTTACCTAAGCAGGCACTTAGTCCCCTGAGCTATCTCACTGGCCCTCTGCCATTATTATTATTAGTATTATTATCATGATCATCATCATTATTTTTTGTGGCCAGGTCAGCCCACCGTGGGGGTGGGACTGGCATGGCATATAGTGCTGGGGACTGAACCGTGGTCCCTGTGCACTTGCCTAAGCTTACCTAAGCAGGTGCTTTAGACCACTGAGCTATCTTCCCGGCATTATTATTATTATTATTAGCTTTTTTTGAGACAGCTCTTGCTATGTAGCCCAGGCCTGTCTCCTGAGCACTGGGGTTACAGGTATATGCCACCATGCCTGGCTTATCATTGTTGTTATGATGCTGGGGTTGGAACCCAGTGCCAAGTGTATACTAGGCAAGTGCTTACCAGTGAGTCACACCTCTGCCACCTTCTCTTTAATCTCTTTCTTGGGATCTTACACCTCCTTCTCCCTATTCTAGGACTCTTACGCCTCACTGAGTTGATGCCTCCACTCTTTACTTATTCATCCATTTATCTGTTTATTTGAAATAGGGTATTAATATATAGTCTAGGCTGACCTTGAACTCACTATGTAGCCCAGACTGGCCTTGAACATACTCTAGTGATCCTTCTGCCTCTCCCTCCTGAGTGCTAGGATTTTGGTGTGTACCACCATGCTTGGCTGCTGTCTACTTATGAATGGCCTGTTTCATCCTTATAGTCTTTTGACTCCATTTCCCTTTTGACCAAGGTGGTGGAACTTCCCAACACTGGCAACACAGAACTCCTTTTCCCAGCATTGGTGCCTGCTTTGGGCTTCAGCATCTACTCCGTAACCCAGGTGTCCATCCGGAGACCCCGGGCCCACCTTCGACAGCCCAGGCCCCAGAAATCTAGGTCCCCCATCCTGTCTATCAAAAATGAGGTAAGACCCTAACTCGTCCCTTCCTTCCTCTGTGACAAATTGAAAATGTCATCGTAGGCTACAGGTCAGGAGGTCCCTGGTCTCTGGTTTGTTGTCACTGTGTCCTTGATGAGTGACCTCAGTGTCCTTCCTGGGGCTGTCGTGAGGGTCCAACGTGACTATGGGTAATGTGCGGCATTTCTGTCAGAGCTGATGGTGGGAGGGGGGGACATGCCATGTCAGAGGAGGGCCTCAGATGAAGTGACATTTATCTTGAGACCCCCAGCTGAGGGTAGCTCAGTGGTACAGTGATTGCTTCATGTGCATGAGGCCCAGGGCTCTGCCCCCAGCACTGCAGTAAATAAGTAAGTACCTGACAGAGAGATCAGACAGGCAGAACACAGCAGACACAGAAACTTTCAGACTTTTTTTTGAATGGGGAATCAAACTCAGGACCTTGCATTTGGCAGGCAGGCACTTGTACCATTGAGCTATATCCTGGGAAGAAACCCTCAGATATTTAAAATGCCTTTATTAGTACATGTTCATAGTTCATCGTAGGGAGTTAGCATATGTGCATAACCACCTTAATTCTTTTTCTTCCCCTTGGTCCCCTCCCTGATCACTTGGTCTTCCCTTTTACAAAGGATTTGTGTCACTATTTCCTGTTAGCTGTCTCTTACTTTGCTCTTTATTTACACCTTGGGTGTCTCATATAAAATAAACCATGTGATATTTAAGCTCATATATCTGATTTATTTCGCTTAATATTACGGTTTCCAGGTACATCTGGTTTCCTATAAATGACTTAAGTTCATCCTTTTTTATGGTAGAGCAGTATTCCAGTGTGTGTAAATACCACATTTTTTGCATCCATTCATCTGTTGATGGACATGTAAGTTACTTCCCAGTTTTAGCTATTCTGAGCCGTACTGAAAACCCTCAGATTGTGTAGGCCTCGAGGCCCAAGACTTCGGCTCTTCCTGTGAAGAAGCCATGAACTGGACAGGGTTGTATTGAAAGTGCTATGGACGCTGGGTATGGCGTTGCACAGTGTAATCCTAGCACTCGGAAGGCTGCGGTAGAAGAAGTGCTGTGAATTCAAGGCCTGGGCTCCATGGTGAGACCTTGCCTCAACCTGCCACCCTCCAGAATTATGGAGTCTGGGCAAAGCCTCCTGAGTGCTGCGGTTAGGGCAGGCAGCACTGCACCAGGCTGGTGGAAGCTGAGACTGAACTGAGCTGCCCTCTGGCTGGTGTGTGGTAAGCAGGTCACAGGGCATGAGCATAGAGGGAGGGGACAGGAATAGGTGACTGTGTGGCTCTGCAGGGCCCTGGAGGGACAAGAAGTGACTGTGTCGTAGGTCAAGGATGAGGCTGAGGGAGACAATGCAGGATTTGTAATAGAATCAAATGTGAAAGTGTGGACACTGAGGTGACTGGAGTGCTCTCTATGTCCTGGAAGGGGAGGCGCTGCCGCTGGCCGCAGCCCTGGGCAGTAATACCTGGCTTTCCCCCCATGCAGTACCTTCAGGCTACATTCCACCCTGACACAGGGTTCTTGAGGACGATTGAGGTCCTGGACCGGAAACTCACGCTGGCTGTGAGCCAGGCCTTCTTCTGGTGAGAGAGGACTGCTGGATGGGCTGGGGCCACAGCCAGGCCATTCCCTGACTCATCCGTACTGGCTGCAGGTACAATGCCAGTACTGGAGACAAGCAAAGTGATCAGGCATCTGGTGCCTACATCTTCAGACCGAGCCAAGCAAAGCCAATTCCCGTGAGCCACTGGGCACAGACGCAGCTGGTGAAGGTCTGGAGCCACATGGAGGAGGGCACTTGGGGACGGGAGGTGGTGGTGGAGCCATCCTGACTGGGTGTGAAGGTCACAGCTACTTGTAGGAGGGGCACTTCCCACCCATCCACATCTGCCATGGGTGTCAGAAGTTGAGGGGCAGGGAGAGAGCCAGGGATAGCTACTTGAAGAGTTCCTCTGGCCAGGTGTGGTAGTAATTCCAGCACTCCTGGAGGCTGAGGCAGGAGGATCGCAAGTCTGAGCCCAGCCTGAGCAGCTTAGTGACTTAGCTAGACCTTGTTTCAAAATAAAAAATTTAGAAAAGAAAAATTTAAAAAACGGCTGGGGTGTAGCTCAGTGGAAAGGCCCTGGGTTCAGTTGCCAGTACCACACACACACACACACACACACACACACACACACACACACACACACACACAGAGTTTGGCAAGCTCACATTTATATCAGGGATACGGAAGAATTTTACTTGGAGAGTGACTTGGGTGCAAATCCGAGGATGCACTGGACAGGAAGCAGTGGTTTCCTAGGGCTTCTACTGACATTTTCCCTGAAATAGGAATAGGGCAGATAACGGCAAGACTCACCTTTGTGCAGGGTTAAGAGCCTCAAATTAGATGTGGTCCCCTTGAGGAGTCCCTGGATCGCAGAACTGGGATACTCTTTGGCCTGTTGTAACAGTTATCCAAATTAACTGCCTATCAGAAAGTCTGGGGCCAGGGAGATGGCTCAGTAGAATAAGTGCTTCTCTGGTAAGCTTAAGGGCCTGAGTTCAAGCTCTGGTTCCACCAAAAAGAAAAAAGAAAAGAAAAGAAAGTCTGGCTGGGCCATTCAGGGAAGGTGGGGCAGCTCCACAGTGTTGTGGCTTGTATCTCATCCCCCCAAAGCTGTATTTTGTCCCAGTAATGAGGAAAAAAGTAACTGAGAGAGACACTCTGCCAGTTCCCGTTTATCTTCTTGCTCTTCTTCACTATTCAGCTCTTACCTCATGGTCCGATGTGGCTGCTCAAGCCCCAACTATCACATCCACATTTGAGACATTTGGAGAGGGAAAGGGTCAAGAAGCATTGTTTATACCATCTTGATTATTTTCCGTGGGGCAGACTGCGGTCACACAGCTACTGATAACCTCAGTGTAGTCTTCATACAAGGTAGTCACGTGCCAATCTTGACCTTTAATCTGAGGAGGGGGAATCGGGTGCTAGGAGACGGCAAGCACATATCATTTTTATCAGTACATGTTTGTTGTGTGTGATATTTACATCCTATAGAGTTGATTCTTGTAAACAACACATCTTAATTCTTTTTTTGGTACTGGGCATCGAACGTAAGACCTTACACTTGCCAGGCAGGTGCTGTGCCACTGAGATATATCCCTGGCCCTTTAATTCTTTTTTCACCCCCTTCTTCCCTCTCCCTCTCTCCTTTCATCTCTTGGTCTCTTTCCCATTTGCAAAAAAAATTATCTCCCTGGTCCTATTGTTTTTCTTTAATTTTGCTCTTTGTTTAGCTATTGCTTTTCTTTTTTTTTTATTATTTTATTTATTTATTCATTGTGTGTGTGTGGCCAGCTCAGCCCACCAGGGGGTGGGGCTGGCTGGCATGTGGTGCTGGGGGATTGAACTGCGGTTCCTGTGCTTTGCCAAGCTTGTTCCAAGTAGGTGCTTTAGACCACTGAGCCATCTCTCCAGCCCCTAGCTATTGCTTTTCTCATAGAAAAGAAACCATGTTATTTTAAGCTTGTGCATCTGTTTATTGTTTCTCCTAATAATATGGTTGTTTGTTTTTTTTTTTTTTTTCCGGAATTGGAAATTGAACTCAGGCCCTTGCACTTGCCAGGCAAGCGCTCATTCTACTGAGCCATCTCCCCGGCGCCAATAGCATGGTTTGAAGATGCATTCATTTTCCTCCAAATGACTCCAGCTTATCCTTCTCTATGGCACAGTAGTGCTCCATTGTGCATAAATGCCACATTTTCTTTACCCATTCATCTGTTGAGCATATAGGTGACTTCCAAGATTTAGTTGTGTTGCTTTAGAAGTGGGCAGATCCAGAAAGTGTGGATGGGTTTCCATGTTCTCCATAGGATTGACCCTGACTTAGGCCTTTTGGGGGTTCCCAGCAGAGGGCCATTTTCAGGGATACCCTCCGCCCCAGTGTGGCTGACACCTCTCCACCCTGTGTGCCCACAGACAGCCTTGGTGCAGGAGGTCCACCAGAACTTTTCTGCCTGGTGCTCCCAGGTGGTTCGCCTGTACCCTGGTCAGCGTCACCTGGAACTTGAGTGGACAGTGGGGCCAATACCTGTGGGGTAAGTGGCCCAGGCTGGGACTGGAGCAGGGGACAGGGCAGAGTGGAGTTTAGGTGAGGCTCATACCGGTCTCTTTGGGCCCAGGGACAAGTGGGGGAAGGAGGTGATCAGCCGCTTTGACACACCCCTGAAAACCCTTGGAGTGTTCTACACGGACAGCAATGGCCGGGAGATCCTGGAGAGGAGGTGAGAACTCTGAGGACCTTGCAGCATGGTTGGTGCCAAGCTGAGGCCAGGGGTGGGGGGCAGCAGCAACCGCTGACTGAGAAATGTAGGTGGGACAGGATACGGGCTGTGTGTGTGTGTGTGGGGGGGACACTGGACCTTGACCTGACCCCACCCCACCCCACCCCACCCCAGGCGGGATTATCGACCTTCTTGGGATCTAAACCAGACTGAACCGGTGGCTGGAAACTACTATCCAGTCAACAGCCGCATTTACATCACGGTAGTACTCTGTGCCTCCCCACCCACCTATCCTGCAGCCTTCATTCCCAGCATCTTTCATTTCCCGGATACCTGGGACAGAGACCGTGAGGCCCTTTCCCTCACTGCCGCTCATCTTCCCAGGATGGGAAGATGCAGTTGACGGTGCTGACTGACCGCTCCCAGGGGGGCAGCAGTTTGAGAGACGGCTCCCTGGAGCTCATGGTGAGTGGATCCCAGCCCTGCAAATGAATTTTCACCCAGGCGGCTTGCTGGAATACTAATTTGAGAGAATTCCATTTGTATGTTTGTCTTCCTCTCTTTGGGGGGCTTGGAGGGTACTATGGATTGAACCTAGGAATTTAGTATTGAGCTATACCCTATTTAATTTTGAGACCGGGTCTTGCTAAGTCGCTCAGGTGAGACTCATTCTGTCCTGCCCCCCCCCCCCCAGGTGCACCGACGGCTGCTGAAGGACGATGGCCGCGGAGTGGGAGAGGCATTGCTGGAGTCTGGGTCCGGGGTGTGGGTGCGTGGGCGTCACCTTGTGCTCCTGGACACGGCCCATGAGGCAGCCGTGGGACACCGGTTGCTGGCTGAGAAGGAGCTGCTGGCCCCGCAGGTGGTGCTGGCCCCAGGGCGCGGCTCCTCCTACCACCACAAGGCAGCCCCGAGCAAGCAGGTGAGGGGTGAAGGGCAGCAAAGGGACCCCGAGGCCAAACCCCATCCCACACCCTGGTCTCAGTTCTAGTGCCAGCGCTCGTCCCTCCTTGGTCAGTGCCAGCCCAGCCCCTCCTTTACACACACGCACACACAGACACACGCATGCACACATAGTTCTGCACCTTCAGGACTGAGACCTGCAAGGCCCAGTCTGCCACATCCCATACCCTCTCTTCCTTACTTCAGTCCCTAGGGTCTCTTGAATCTGCCTGCTCCTCCCGGGATAAGCTAGCCGCAACACTAAAACTCAAGGCAACAGACAGTTGAGCCCCACCCCTACAGCCTAGTTGTTTAGACAGAACAGCTGAGCCTGGCCCCCAAAATTTGTCCTGACTACAGGAAGCTAAGCTCCGCCCCCACAATCTCATCTCCCAAGTGTGCAGTGGATTCCCGCCCCTCTCTACCCAGGCCCCGCCCCATCTAAGCCCCGCCCCTTCCACAGTTCTCAGGCCTGAACAGGGAGCTGCCGCCCTCTGTGCACCTGCTCACCTTGGCCCGCTGGGGACCTGACATGCTGCTGCTGCGGTTCGAACACCAGTTCGCCCTGGGGGAGGATTCAAGCCGCAACCTGAGTACTCCTGTGGTCTTGGACTTGAGGGTGAGGAGGGCAGAAGTGGGAAGGGGCAGGAGAGAGAGCAAAGAGAGGCACGGAGGTGCCGTTTAGCTTTGTGTACCACTCAGCCGGGCCCATCCACTCTCCGCTCTGTCCGCAGGACCTGTTTTCCACCTTCACCATCACTCACCTGCAGGAGACTACTCTGGCAGCCAATCAGCCCCGGGCCAGCGCCTCCAGGCTCAAGTGGACACCAGAGACTGGTAGGGACCTGGTGGGCCTCTGTCTGGCTCAGCAGCTGGGGCATTCTGGGAGAGGCGTGGGAATGTGTGCTGTGACCCGGTGGAGAACTTGACTTGGCTCCTGACCCAAGCTGGGGGTTCAGGGTCAGAAGTGGGTCCAGCCAACCTGCAATACACTTGAAGGTTTGGTGACTCCCAGGAATAAGAAGGGCAGTGCCTAGAAATTGGAGACGCTAGGTGTGGTGGTGCACGCCTGTTGTCCCAGCACCCGGGAGGCTGAGGCAGAGTATTGCTGTGAATTTGGGGCCAGCCTGGACTACACAGTGAGTTCAAGGCCAGCCAAGAATACATGGTGAGGGGCTGGAGAGATGGCTCAGTGGAATAAACACTTCCTTGGCAAGTGCAAGGGCCTGAGTTCAATCCCCGGGTTCCGCAAAAAAAAAAAAAAAAGACAGAAAGAAAAAAGAATACATGGTGAGATCCTGTCTTGAAAAAATGAAAAAGGTCCTGGTGTGGTGGTGCGCGCCTGTAATACCAGCACTCAGGACCTGAAGCAGGATGATTGCTGTGAGTTTGAGACTAGCGAAGGCTACAAAGTGAGTTCAAGGCAAGCCTGAACCACATAGCAAAATCCTGTCTCAGGGGCCGGAGAGATAGCTCAGTAGAAGGTCCTGAGTTCAATCCCCAGTACCAGAAAAAACAAAAACAAACCACCAACCAAACAAAAAATTCCTATCTCAAAAAGACAAAAACAAGGGCCAGGGATATAGCTTAGAGGCTTGAGCACCTGCCTGGTAAGCACAAGGTCCTGAGTTCGATCCCTGGTACCACAAAAACAAACAAACAAACATAACCTTAGTCTCAAAAAGAAAAACAAGGTGCTGGGTTGAGAGCTCAGTAGAATAAGTGCTGCCTGGCAAGTGCAAGGGCCTGAGTTCAAAGCCCAGTTCCACCAAAAAAAAAAAAAAAAAAAAAAAAAAAGAAAAAAAGAAAAAAAGAAAAGAAAAAAATCCCCAAGAGAATTTAGGGATATCAGAGTAGTATTCAGGTCAGGGTAGTATTCAGGTCAGGGCAGTGGTTTAAGGTCTGTGCACGATGTCCTGGGTATAGATTTTTGGGGGTGTATGGCTGTGTTCAGACACAGGGGTCAGAGCATAAAGGAGTGAAGTTGAGGAAGTCAGCGCCCCTCATTCTCTACCCCTCCCCTAGGTCCCACCTCCCACCCCACTGTGCCCAGGCTGGACCCTGCCTCCATCACGCTGCAGCCCATGGAAATCCGCACCTTTGTGGCTTCAGTCCAGTGGAAAGAGGATAGCTAGACCTGCGGGAGGTGCCCTAGCTCTGGGCATGCGGCCGACTCCCTATCCTCCTCTTGGTGCTGCCGCCGCCACCATCCACAAAAGCCATTAAAATTCTACTAGTGAGATTCAGGTCATGTGTGAGTGCGTGTGGTGGTTTTGGTTTGGGGGAGGGGTATGGAAAAAGGGATCCAGAAAATTCAGTAGACTGGATCTCAGCTCCAAACTGGTTCCTGGTGGGAAGGCTGCTCTCCAGCTGAACCTTCGCACCGAGAACCACGGTCTCATCCCACCCCACCCATCCTCCTCTGCTTCCTGCTCTGATCCTTTGACCACTTGGGCACTGACAACTGTCTTCAGCAGCCAGTGAAGGCAAGCCTGGGCTGGATGTGCGCTCAGAGAACCTGATACACCCTGGGTCCTCCCCATCCTGGTCTTGAGGTGTTATCTTTAGAGCAAGGGACCAGGGAGGGCCTGGAGGACAGGGTGGACCCAGAGGCAGGTCCCCGTTTGCAGCCATGGAGGGGTAGCTGGAGATGCAGGCCTTGCAGGAGGTAGTTTGTTGCACCCTGGGTTTTGGGGTCTGGTATGCAAGAAGCCTGGGCTAAACTATTCATGTATTCCTTTGGTTTCTTGGGACAGAGTCTCCATTTGCAGTCCTTGCTGGCCTTGAACTCACTATGTAGTCCGGGCTGGCGTGAACTTGTGGCAGTCTTGCTGCCTCAGCCTCCTGAGTGCTGGGATGACACATGTGCTCCAGCACACCCAAGATCTATATCTAAACTTGGTCAAGGAGAACTGACACCCCCCTCCCCCAGCTGTGCCAGCCTTGTGCATGCACATCCCTGTATGGCAAGGAACGACATCCCAGGCCTACCTGCAACCTGCCTGCTACAGACAAGGACGAGGAGAGAGGACTGAGCTCTGTAACTGTGTGGCTATTATTGCTGTGCCTTCTGGAACAGATGTGTAAACTCCTTCTAGAAGGACCGCCGAGCTAGGACCCTGCACAGTGGCTCATCGTTGGAGATGCCAACTGTTGGTGTTCCTTAGTCTCCCTTTGATGACAAGGCCTGGCCCAGGGTTGATAGGAAAGCCAGGGAAGGGTGACCCTTGGTGGCATGGGTCGTCAGGATGCCAGAGTGGGGAGGTGTTTTAGCCACTTCTTGTTGCAGGGGCACAATACCTGGCCCTCACAGTTTAATGGAGAAGTGGTTTATTTGGGCTCAGGGATGCAATCTATGGCCTGCTGGCTTCCGAGCAGAGACCGTGGGGGAAGAGCCTGGTGGAGGATGGCTGTTCATCCATGGCAGCCAGGAAGCAGAGAGAAGGGAGGTGTGAGGGTGGGAGCACAGCCTGCCAGGCCTGTCCTCAGTGACCCCTCCAGCCGGGCCCCAGGTCCTAACAGCATGTCAGCCCTGAATTCTACCGTGGATGGGTCTACCATGAGTACAGCACCCTCGGGATCCAAGTAACAGGAAGTCTCATCTCTGAACACAGGAGGCTTTGGGGGGATATCTTATTTTATTGTTATTTCTTGATTTTCGAGATAAGGTCTTGATACGTAGTTCAGCACTAGGGAGGCTGAGGCAAGAGGATTGCTGTGAGTTTGAGGCCAGCCAGGGCAACAAAATGAGTTCAAGGGCAGCCTGAACTTCATAATGAGACCTTGTTTCAAAAAGACATAAATAAATAAAATAGAAATTTGGGAAAGGAAGAACCTCTCTCCTGGAAGATAGGCAAAAACAAACAAACCCAAAATAAGTAAAACAGAGGCTGGTGACATGGCTCAGTGGCACAGAGTCTGTCTGGCAAGCACAAGGTCATGAATTTGATTCCCAGTACCAAACAAAAACAAAAACCCCACAATAAAACCATAGCCCAGTGTGGTAGCACAGCCTGTTATCCCAGGACTGAGGAGGCTGAGGCAGGAGAATTGCTAAGTTCAAAGCCAGCCTGGGCTACCTAGTGAGACCTTGTCTCAAAGCAAAACAAGCAAAGGAAAAACCACAACCCTTTCCTGCTCCCTCCACGGCCCTGTTGGAGGCACTGTGCCCCTCCCTGCTCTCCCTTAACCTCTCACCTTCTCTGAAGGAGTCCCATCCAGAGCTGGGCTCAGGGCCAAGCCCTTCCTCCCCCCGCCCCCAGTGCCCCTTATGCTGCCAGTGCAGTAAAAGCTGGATCCAGATGGAAAACGTCTGCATCAGGAACTCCAAGATGGGCCTCAGACTCTGCATCTCTAGCAAGTGCTCAGGGGATGGTGACAGTGCTGGGCTGGGGGCCACCCTGGAGCGCTGCTGAGCTGCATCTTTATGGGCTGATGGGGACTTGGCCACTATACTTTGTTAAGCAGAAAAGAAGAAAGCTATATGGAATAGACCCCTGGCAGTGGAAACTTGCTTTCCAGGACTACATGTGTGACATGTCCCTGTCCCCAGGCCAGTGAAAAAATTTATGATTCTTGTTCCTTTCTTGACTCCAGACTCCAGGGGGCAGCATTTACATCATGGTCTTTGTGAAGAGTGCTCTTGGGAGTTGTGCAGTGTGGAACCTGAACTACTGCACCCGGCAGCCTTGTTCCTGGGTGTCTAGCCTCCCCAGCCTCTTTTTTTTTTTTTTTTTTTTTTTTTTTGCACTTCAGCAGCTTTCCCAGGGGTCAGAGCTGGGTAGAAACCCACAGAGGCCAACTGTGGTCGGTCCCAGCTCGCTCTTCCTGTGCCACCCCGGAAGTGTCTTCCCATCTCAGAAATTGGTGTTCATATATAAAAATGAGATCAGTAGTATACACCCGCCAACTGTTCCTGGGGTGTGTATCTTCCTTCCTAGCATCTAGCACCATCTCCATTGGAGCCCATTTATCTTGTTTACCTTGTTGGCGTCTCCTCTCAAATGTTAGTTCTGAGGAGCGGGGAATTTTGTCTGTCTTGTCCACCGCTGCATTCTTGCCCTTTGGGTAGAGTGTGCACATAGTGGGTGTGCTGTGGTTTGAGTGGGTCCCCAAATTTCATGTGTTGGAATTTAATCCCCAAAGTCACATATTAGTGATATTTCAAAGGTGGTCCTTTTTTTTTTTTTTTTTTCTCCTTACCAGTATTGGGGATTGAACACAGGGACTTCACACTTCCTTTTTATATTGAGACAGAGTCTGAATTGTCCACACTGGGCTTAAACTTGTGATCCTCCTGCCTCAGCCACCCAGAGTGCTGGGAGGACAGGCGTACACCACCACTCCTGCCTGCTGAGAGGTAAAACTTTTGAGAAGTGATTGTGCCATGAAGAAAAGCCCCTTCGAACAGCTCTGTCCCTGCCTAGATTGGTGGGTTAATGAGTCACAGAGGGCATGGCTTTACTCTAGCACATGCGCTCTCTGGACTTCCTGGTATCCAGAGCCATGAGCCAAATAAACATCTGCTTATACATTTTCTGGCCTCAGGTGTTTGGTTATAGAAACGGAAGTTGGACAAAGTCAACAGGTGTGGTGGCACAGGCCTGTGATCCCAGCTCTCGGGCCACTTTGTGTTAGGATTTCCACCTGAGGCCCCTGCGAGCCCTTGTGTACTCCGAGGCAGTTCTTCTGGAAGGTGACTGGATTACTGGGGTGCTGCCGCTGGTTTGGTGTTAGGAGTTGGGCCTGGTTGGAAGCGGTGGGTCACTGGGGTGCAGTCCCGAGGGGTGGAGCTCCCCATCCACCTTTTGTTCTCCACTTCCTGGCTACCATGAGGTAAGCAGCTTTTCCCCGCTCAGGCCCTTCCCTCCCAGATGTTGATCATGCAAGGATGGAAATTTCTAACTGTGAACCAAAATTGACCTCTCTTTTCTGTTATGGGTGTTGGGTATTTTTTGGTCACCTTGCAACAGAGCTTCCCTTGACTCAGATTGTCCCTCAGATCTCAAAAATTCAACCTGAGCTAGGAAACCAGGACTGAGGTGGGAATTGATCAGCTGCTGCTACCCCTGAGCGCGGCCCTCCACGTGGGATCCTGCTGCTGTGCCTGGACCAATCTGAGCCTGTGGGTCAGCAGGTGCAGATCTGGAATCCATTTCTGATCTTCCCTCTTGATGTCTAGTGAAAGCTTTTCCTGAAGCTTTGTGTTTTAATTTTAATTTCTGTTCTCATTGAAGCAAGGACCCATGGTGGTCAGTTTCATGAGAGGGGGAAGGAGTCCCAGGCAGGGTCAGGGCCTGCACCTCATTATATCTCAAGGGCCCAGGGCTGGAATGATTCAGTGTGGCGCATCCTCCCTGATGGTTGGGGACCAGAAGGGATGACATTTTGGTGAGGATGACATCAGGCAGCTTGTGTGGGGGTGAGAAGGGGGCTGGGCCTCAGTCACCCATGATCTGTGCCCTTCCTGTTGTTTCTCTGTCAGTCACCCAAAAAGGGGACCTTCCTATGCTCCACCCACCACCCCACACACCTGGTTTCTTGACCACAGCTCCCTGCTCCTCTTGCCCCTTCTTGCACCCTCCTGTCCGGTGCTGTTTGGGCTACATCAGGCAGGAGCTGTATTAGCATTGTGTGGGCAAAGCGGGTACTGGGGTGCAGGTGGAAATTCTGAGCCGTGGCACGCTCTGCTGGATGGGAGCTCCGAGGCTGTGGGTAGTTCAGCTCTGGGCAAGGCCCTGGGGAAGAACTTGCTTCTGGCTAAGGGGCCACGCATACACCTCTATTTCACGTTGAATGCTGGAGATGCCTCGGGCTGCTGCTGCCTCCTCAAGGGTAGCTTGCTGGTTTTGGGAGCACAAGTGGACCTGCAGGGCCTTGGCCTCAGGCGTGATCGAAGTCAAGGCTTGGCAGGTGCAATAGTCATTGATGGGTTCAACAAACATTCACTGAGCATTACGTTACTGTGTGCCAGGCAGTAGGAAGCAGTGAACAAGACAGATGCAAACCCGTGCTCTCCTGGAGCAGAGCTGCAGATAGGGGAAAAACAGGCAGCGACACGATCAAGAAGCGACCGCTATAAAAAGGCAGATGGTGATCCAGATTAAGGGGGAAGTAATGTGTGCAGTGTGTGAGAAGGGCTGACTTGCAATCTCTCTAGAGCCGTTTTAGAGGATCTCACTGAAGGTGACACTGGAGCAAAACTTCCTGTCTCTCCCCCCAGGGCCTTGGCGGGCCTCCTTTACCCC